TTCCTGACCAGATCTCTTACTGCTTGGCAGTAAGCGTAGTTAGACACAAACTCACAAGCAGAACTGAAGCAGAGGCAATAACCAACAAGAGCTGTGGGAGGTCAGGAATCAGCAGTGCTGGATAATCAGTGCATGGACAGTTCTACAGCCTTCGGCTGGCAGGAGGAGCCAGCCTGAGCCAGGCAGGACCATCCTCCCTCCCCTCTCTTGCTCCTGCCCACGTGGCTCCTCCGCTGGCTCCGGGGAACAACTGCGCTCAGCAGTGCAGCCCAGGCAGCACAGCGCCTGGCGCTTCCTAGCTGTTTTCACTGGCAAATCATAACTGTAGGTAGCACTTGAAGCCTCAGGGAGCTCACAGTACAATTTTAAAGCATCATACCTTTTTTTTCAGGTGCCTTAAAGCCAAAGAAACTTTTTCTTTTTTTATATAGTTTGTAGCAAAGACAATGACTGTCAACATCTTAAATACTTTTAAAATACTAATTAATCACTTTTTTTTTAAGAAAAAAAATACTTCTAGATGGTCAGTGAGTATGGAAGGGAAAGTTCACTCCCTGATAACCATTAACAGTGTATTGCTTTAAATAAGGACATGTCTTGGACTGAGAAATTTCTCACCACCTACTACATGGGTTTAATTAAATGCAAGGCAAAAATGTCAATACAGTTAAATTTTATAAGACCCCACGACCCAGAAGAACAAACACTGTTGAGAAATGGAAGGTTTTCCATGGACAGTAACAGCATTTGCTATAGGAAAAGTGTATGGTAGCAGAAGAGACAACTTGACCTACGTATGATTAGTCAAAATACATAAATATCTAAAAGATTACAAGGATATTTTAAACTGTTATAACTACGAGTATTTAGTTCACAAATGACCCAGCTCTTCTACAAATTCATTATTTTCTAGGGAACAGGAAATGAGAACTGTGTCTTTGGTCTTCTCTCTTACAAAATGAAGAGTTCTGCAACAGGTGTGAACCAAGATTAACTGGTACATGTAAGGATCTAAAAGCAACACCCGACCCAGTAATTTTCACATTTTAATGAAACTGTTCCTGCTTTAGGGTTAATTCAAACAGCATAAGTGTTAAAACTAGATCTTAGTTCTTGTAAGAATTTTAATACATATGTAACACCTCATTGATTATCTAATCAAAAGAAACCACTCAATGCTTGACATCATGGATTTATCTTTCAGCAGTAATTTCACACGATTGTTAAGATAAAAAGCACAAGATTCACAAGATAAAAAAAAAATCCTCTCCCTTCTGAAAATCCTCTATGAATATTATCACCTTCAGAAGACTCAGCAAAATGAATTAAAATAAGGCCATGTTTCTTTTGAGATAAAACAAAAACTGTACCATAAGTTTTGGTTCTTGACTGCTTAATTTTATGATACTAAATAAAATACTCTGAATTCTGTCACAGGAAAAACAAAAGTAGTGAGAATACATGTGCCAGTACTAGGATTTAAGACGACAACATTCAGGAAAAATATCATACCTGTACTCTGTCCACATGAACTTTCACTCCTCCAACAATTCCCTTTCTAAAGGCTGCCAACATGTCTAATATTGGATTGAATCTGCTCCCTCTGAAATTTGAAACAGAACTCCATCAGTATTGCAATTAGGAAAATACCACACTGCAAACAATGCTTTTATTTCTCTCTACCTTATATTGTCTTCACGGATCAGTACAACAAAGAGTGGACGACCATGCATTTTCCAGTTCTGCTTAATGAACTGCAGTGCATTCTAGGTGGGAAATAATACATTTAAAGTCACAAAATAATATAAATACACAAGCACAACATACCAGAACACACAACATAAGATATTAGCAGAGCTGTCTTAAAGCAACAGCACTGAAAAACACAACAGATTAAAAAAAACCATAGCTAGTAAACTACTAACAGATTTCTTCAATGAATGTAAGCTGCTTTCTAGCACTGCTATCTCACGAGGTTTCTGAAAACTGTCCCACCATATCCACTGATCACAACTAAACCACGGGGGAGGGTGCAGTGTACCGAGCTTGCTGGAGCTACCCAACAAGTGCTTGGGAATCCAGGACCTGAGTCAGCCACTGGCATGGAATAAGTGCTATGACCTTCTGTGCACTGGAAGTAGCTGCACATGCACAGGGGACGTGACGGGTCAGCTTTGTGCCACTGCCTGCATGATGGTCAGTGAAGGAAGGCAATTTTTAATACTTGTGCAAAGCCAAGTAAGATTTCCTCCAGGCAAGGCTTTCATATCTCCCTTAAATAGCCCAGATCATTTATCTTTTCAGCCAAGAACATTTATTTTCCCAGAGAAACAAATGGTAGTTTGCTTGCTGCACTCCAGCATTTCCAGTCACTTTTGGTTGAGCGCTTTTTTTGTCAGACACTCACTAGAGCTTGTACTGGGCTGACAGGATATTCATTGTAATGCACTTTCCAGCATAAACTGCAAGTTTCTTTTTATATTAGAAAAAGATGCCCCATACAGTGTTCCTGTGTCAACCTTCTCTTCTATCAAACTTCACAGTTTATTCTTCTACAGATTCTATTTTTGCCAGTTTCTCAAAGGAAAAGTTATGGATAAATACCTTAATGTCACCAATCAACATCATAACATCCTGAGACATGTAGAAATCACTTAGATCAAAAATGATAGAGTAGCAAACTACAGTCTTTCCTAGTATTCGATAAATCTGTTGAGAGAGAAAGCATCCATTAATCTTTTCTTTAAAATATCTGAAGCACTGAGCAAGCTGAAAAGGGGAAAAAAAAAAAAAGATATTTTGAAACTAAGTAATAATACAGAACAGTTGAACTAAAAATATATATTTAAGATAAAATCTACATAGCTAATTTTAGAAACTCTTTTATTAGGTATGCAGATCTAGTTTCTATCTCAGTTAAAGCAGTTCACTTTGTCACTGTTCAGCCGGTTTTGGCCAAGTGTTCCTGTTACTGGATGTCTAGGAAGCATATGGCAGTTTAAGAGTAAGAGCATGTGCATTCATAATAGCAAAATACAAGACAAGGAATTTAAAATAAGATACACAAAATAGAATTACATTTCAATTCTATTTAAAAACATTCAGATACTAATTCAATATTTATCTGAAATATATATCAATGACAATAATATAAACATTTCTTGCAACAACCTTTGATGTTCCAAGGCATCCTATAGGCCTGTCTGGTCTTCCAGATAATCCCAGTTTGTCATTGACTCCCAACTGGAAGTAAGCCTGTAAAGAAAGAATCATAAAAGCTGAGGGAAGTCTGTATATGAACCTTTCTTGTGCTCCTACTGGGTCTCACACAGGAAGCTGTGTGCATTCTGCTTTAATTAGAAGGCAAGATTCATCAAATGTGATCATTATTTCTATTGGACTTTCTTCCCATACATCCATAGAACAACAATTAATAAAGTGAGAGAACACTAGGTTTGACAAATTTACAGTTCAGAGACCAAATATAATTATTTTCATTTTAATTCTTTTACAGCAAAGAGAAATCAGCTATGTAATTGAAGCAGGAAACACAAGATGCAAGAAGACAAAGACACAAGCAGCCTGCTCCCTGTCACATCCGTCCATCTGTCCTTCCAGTGTAACCTGCGTCACTTCCGCAGACCAGGGCTCTGTGTAGGTGCAGTGTCACAGTTCCCCTTCCCTCCTCGCAACAAGAATTTTGGGAGGATGAAGGGTTTTCACCCTTCTCATGAAGGTGAAAATTCTTAGTACTGGTTTACATGAGAAGAGCGTTGTCTTCTTCAGGGTAAGCAGGGGCGCTGGGTAGGATCCTGAGGCTGTGATTAGGACTCAGGGGCTTAACTTTGGGCATGGGCAAAGCACCAATGTCCTGCCTACCTGCACAGTTTTAAAATTCAATTAAGGCTTCCTGTTTCCTATATTAGGTCTTATTTCTGCCTTCTTACTCATTTTTCTAGTCTAAAATATTTTTTACATCTTCAAATAGCTCACTGAAGTATTTTTTTTACAGGATCCTTTGCATTTATTGTCTGGCCAATTTTGCCTTCTGTAACGCTTTTCCAATGTGGACAAAAAAGTAAAACAGTAACATAGAAACTCTTTAAAGATCTGTAGTCTAATTCCAGTGAAGGTGTGCAAAATTAATGCATCAAGAACAGAAGCAAGAGGGAATTATCTCATTATTCATTGCTAGATTCTTATTAGAGTTAAATTACGGATGCCTCGTATTATTTCAGCTTACATAATTTTGGAAGACTTGCATATTACAGAAATAGTCTTCATTTATTATAGTTTATAAGAATAAAACCATTTAAAAAACCCCTAAGCTGTGAGCAGGACAGTACTAATGTATCAGTTAAACCAGACTGAAAGCTGTAATTCTTTTCCTTATTTGGGCTCAATTAGGTAAGGAACCCACTATTACTAAAACTTCAGCACATTTTCCTAAGCTCAGTGTTTCTTTATGTTATAGGAAGATGATTCAGATGCAAATGAAAGCAAACATTTGAACAAACATTACACTCAATAGCTTTTTACTGCTATCAGCTTGGGGCTTTCCTGACATTGCTCCCGTTTCTGCATTAATCCCAAAAACTATTGAAAAAAGAAAATAAACAAAATTACCTATGTCACCTGTTCATCCAGACTAAGTAATTGTATTCAAGTGGGAAAGGAACAGAAACATCAAAACATTAATAGCTTTAAATAACCCATCTATACATAGCAAAACAAAAAGAATGTTGAATGCCTTTTCATAGTAAATAATGGAGTCTAGAAGAATGGCAGTAGACATTATAATTTAACACTAAAAAGACTTTCATTTTCCTAGATTGTAAAGCATAAAACGTTTCAACAAAAATAGAACTCCAGCAATACTGTAATACTCTCTTCCTTTGAAAACTCTCTCTCTAGCTTGAGGCCTCATGTTGTTCTGCAGTCTACTAAAGCAGATTCATCTTCTAATAGCCTTGCGTCTTCATCTGTTACAATCAAAATGTCAGTTTAGATTCAGCACCAGAGTATCTGAACAAAAGTACAGTTTCGTCCAAGCCCAGCTGCTTCAAGCAGGTTTACGTTTGTTTTTTTTATTAAAATGCCCTTCAATTCTGGAATATTAAAGCTACTATTAGCAAGAAACGGCTGTGAAAGCTGACTGGACTGTTGGGCTGATTTATGAGAGTGAATCAAACTAGAGGAGTTTTTCACACCATCTGTTCCTGTGTTCTTTTATCTGTTATCAGTCTATGCCTGTGGAGCATTCTGCTGTTCTCCTGTACTACACTTCCACTGCATACATACTTGCGCCTTGTCCCATTTTCTTGTTTTTCTCTTCTTCTTCGTTTCTCTCCTCCTGCTTTACTTTGTGGTTCTGTTTACGGGACCCCAACCTACTTCAAATCCCTAATTTTTCTGAATCAACACCTTCCCCTCATCCACTTGTTTCTTTTTGCATTACTTTTGTGGACAAATGTTCATTTAAAGCCTAGAGGTTTAAATTGTTACCACATGCCACTAGACTAGTTCAAGAGGTTCTAATTAAATTCAGTTCAACACTGATGAGAATTGACAGCATCAGAACAGTGAAAACTGAGATCCATGTTCTTGGATCCAAGATTCGCTTCATCTACTGAGCTATTAATATTATTAAAAATTTATTATTCATTCATTATTCTTTGAAAGTGGCTCTAGTCATAAGCCTAATCAGATAATGGAGAGCACCTCGGCTTCAGTGTTCACTGAAACCTTTAGGCACGTACAGCTGACCAGTGTTGGCACATCTTCTAACTGAAAAGCACAAAAGGGTAGGTAGCAAGCTTAAGGAGATGCACGTCTAACAGCTTAACATAAATTCCTATTGTTACAGAAGAGATGTTTAGGTAAGTAACTTTAAAATGCACAACTCCTTACTTTGACAAGTTCTTTTTGAGCCCATATCTGAATTGGTTCCACCTGCTGCGGGGTCTGAGTCTGGATTCCGTATGTGTTCAGAAAAACTTGTAGGCTATGAATGAAATAATGACAAATTTAATGACAAATCACAGGGCAGTATTGCTTTTAACAATTACCTTGGCAGCAGATGAACAAGTAACAGTATTATATTTTACACTTGCCTGAATGCCTTTAGCAAATTTAACATGTCTATTTTTCAACACTTCAGTGCTATGTGCATTCTTAACAGAAGCAAATACATACCGCTGGCTTTCTGCTATCAGGGCCACATGTACTACCACATCATTTTCTAAAGGACCCTAGAAAATGATGAAAAAATATTTATTAACATTGCTAACCCAATATTTTGTTAGATATGGCATGAATAGGGACAATGTTTATTTAAACAATTCATGTGTATGACAGATAACACTAGCTGCATTGCATTTTCTTACTGTGTTAAGAGAACAACACAGGACTATAACTTATGCATCTCAAAACTATGGGAAGACTTGTCCTATCAATAATAATTTGCAAGATGCATTTTTGAGAATTAATAGTAAATAGGTTTCTGATAGTCACTTCCACTGTTTGGTTTATTGACATACTGCTTTGGCACACATTTATGTAAAGAGTGAAATAACTCAGCTGTTTGGGTAACCAATAACATTTGCTTTAAAATAACAGCTTCAACCCTCCACTCTGAAACATGTCCATCAGACAGCTACTCTTTAACGTTATATGGAAGACACATGTTTTATAGGAGACAACAGCACTCCCTTGAGCAGATTGTTAACACAGATACTTTATGTTTGAAATAAGTACTAGTATTTTACATCAGGAAACCACACAAATGTGAATCAGTTCAGCACACTGTGTAAAATCATTGGCTAGACTTCCTGAGTCTTGAAAGGGCAATCCCCCTTTCTTTTCACTGGCAGCGTACGTTAAGAGCTAACATGTGAGACGGCTGAGTAACTCCTTGTTCATTTCTGGCATTCCACGACTGTAAAATCAACAGAACTCAGACCAGGAGACATTTTCATTCCTAAAATCCTTTATGTCTACTTCAGCCTAGAAAATACCAGAACATGAATGACAAAAGTTAAATGCATCTTCTATCAACTGATTATACAAAAACACAGCATTTCCTGGGGAGGCAGATGGATACACATACCCATTTAGAACACAGCGGTCAGAGTGAGCACTTGCTTGTGCAGGCAAATGTGAACCTTGATATCAAGTTAGATCTTACAGAGCTGCAGAAGAAATTCTTTAACAGTTTCCCAGAAGTGTATCAACACTACAATTCCATTAAAAATTTTGGTGGTTTTGCCACATGAAATAAGTTTGTGATGAACAAACATGCAGAAAGAGACCAGATTAAGAAATTGGAAGCTCAAGTGACAGACAAGATTTTCCTCCTGAGAATATCATGGTCATGCTAACAACTGCATTTATACAATCAGTAAAAAAACTCAAACCAGTTCTCTAATCAATGCATTATGCTTATAAAACAAAAAGTGAAGACCCCTCCCAGAAAATGAGACAGCTCCCTCCAAGACTGTATTGATTTATAGACAGCCTGTGGTCTAGCTTGGGGGGTGGTCTTCAGGTTAAGGCTCAACTTCATTATTACTGTATTAATGATGAACTGGGTGGAACTGTGCAAGCATGGACTGTCAGGTGCACCTACACCTGCATATGCTCCATCTCCATGGAGGTGCCTCCTCCAACACCAGTCCTCATGTCTCTCACACACAGACGTACCCGATGACACGACACATTCAGAGCAGCCAGCAAGTGGTGGTTTATTGTGGGACATTAACTAAGCCAACGCACCTGCAGCACAACTGGCACAACAGGAAAAAATAGCCAGACTTTTAAAAGTATTGTGGCAAAATAGAACTATAATGGCCGTACAACCACAGGATTGCTCTAACATGAAATGGAAAGTTACTCTTACTAACATTTAACGTGGCAAGGCCTGGTAGATAACAAATAGTGGTCTAGAGAAACAGTTGAGAATAACAGAGAAAATGCTCATGAAAAAGTATGTCACCCTTTTCAATAATGACAGTGATATACAGCATTTGCTACATATTGAAAAAATAAATGTGGAAAAGCATTACATTCCTAAATATTCGACTAAATAAATCTTCTTGCTGTTAGAAGTTCCATTTCGATGTGCTCCATTTAATATCTGTGTAACAGCACAAGCTATGGTGTTGCTCACACAGCATCAATCACCACCTCCCCAAGACGCTCCAACAGACCCCCTCCTGCCAGGCTCACCCTCCTGCCTGCCGTTTACACACTGGATAGTGGGCACAAGGATCTGTTTTAACTATATTCTGCATGCTGTGCAAATGATACATACACCCCAGTGTTTTCATGAGACCAAGCCAAAAGACAAATTAGTTGTTCTTCTTCCACCTTGCCAACAATAAAAAAATTAATAATAATAAAATAAATAAAAAAAAAGAACAAGGTTATAAACTATTGGAGGAAGGATAAAGGGAAAATCCCCTGACTCCATTCCTGGCATGAGCAGGGAAAGCAGCTCAGTAATGCCCTTCTTCCACACTCTCACTGGACAGATGCTGTCACTCCATGCCTTTCTGCACACATTACCAGGAAATCTCAGAACTCTGAAAAGTATCCATTCATTTTGAAAATGTGAGAAGAAAGTAGGCACAGCGTTCAAGAACACCAAGTAAAATTGTTCCTACTGGGCTTTCCAAGCATATGGAGCAAGATGAGGAAAACAGAAGTAGCATGCCACAGAAGAAATTGTACTTAACCCAAATAATCCACCTTGCTACTACAAAACTACAACTGAGCTGTTACAACACACATCTCCTGGAAGCATCTAAAAACTGCTGAACTGTTTATGGTCAAATCCACTAACACATCACACTTCAATGAATCACAACATTGACACATGTCTTAAATTGTAAAATAACACTTAACCATTTTAGCATTGTGTCAACTGTAGTAGGCAATTGTATTAAGAAAATGAAAGCAAGAATATGCTTATATTTAACATTACAAAACATATCATCCAATATCATACATTTCTCTAAACCACCAAAACCAGACATGCTCTAACCCTAAACATAATTTAGGCAGCTGAAATATCTTAATATATCTCAGTCTACCTACACTTAGTAAATTTACTTCCTTTTTTTACAGTATATCTACTTCCCTGAAAATAAAATAAAAATTAAAAAAAATAAGCCATCTATAATTCTGACTGGTCTCTTCCCAACATCATTAATGGGCATTAACCTTAACGTCTAGCAATTTAACTGAAGACCTCACAAACAATTACTTTGTCTACAAAACAAAACATTAAAAGAATATAGTCATCATGTGCAGTCAGAAGTTAATTAATTGTAATCCTATACAAATATTTCAAGTTAACTCTGATGGTAAATTAGTCTCTTTGACAATTTAGTATGATAATAATTTTTTCTTAAACACGACATGAAATATAAACCAGCAATATATCAGCTTTCATATGCTCCAGTAAAATAGAAACAAAACCAGAAAATCCCCACCTAATTTCTTAAATATTATTGTTACTATACAGGTCCTCTCATTCACTAAATTCTCCCCAAATGCAACAACAAAAACTGCGTTTATAATCTAATCTCTCCTGAACATGGGGACAGTAAAAAGGAATAATAAACTCTTCTAAAACACTCCAGTTCTAAAGAGTTATCCACACTGAAACAAAATGCCCTGTGTTTTCTTCTTTCAATAAAGTGCATGGAGTGTTGATGATTCAATTTTCTCTTTAACTCACAAATGGGATTTAACCTGAAACACCACTGACCATTTTGCATTACATAGCGAGTTACTGGTGCAAAGGAGAACCTCTCTGATTGCTGTGAGACTTCACAATGTTTTGGAACACTGACTAAAACCAGCAAAGAAAATCCTGCCCCAGTACCACCCTGACCTTTCCCCAGGAGGGAACGTATGGAGACCTCTTCCTGAAAATGAAAAATAAGGTTTCTTGGGCATTAAGTTAGAAGAGAAAACATTTCCTCTTCACTACAAACAGACACAATTAGCATTTTAATGACCATTATTTGTTTACAATACTGCTCGTTTGATTCCACAGTTTTCTACAGAAAAGATTATTGTCTTTTACCAGATTTTCTAGGTTGAGTGGTGCATTCACAGCTGCAGTTATATAGGTATACATCGTTACATATATAGTTTTCATAGCAATTTTGCCTTTGTAGCTCTGTACTATCTTACTTTAAGTTCTAGAACATCCTTCAGTGGTGCTCTGAAACAATATGGTTGGAATATTTTAAGTACTTTCCATTGCTTGCTTAAATCTGCATTTATGTATACATCAAACATATTGTTGTAGTGGCACCAAAACCACAAATAAACTGCATCAATTACATTATTCAAAGGCAAGAGTTTACAGAGATTACAGTCAGTGCAATCAAAACATCAAAACATGCCTACATGGAAAACACACTTCTTGAAGACATATTTTCTCAGCACAAGGGTTCAAATAAAGAAAAAAGTTAAAGACTTCTTTTTGGCACATCACCTTCTAAAACATTGTACCTCTGCAGAACTTATTTACACAGGCATCTGAAATTTTTATATAAACTTCTTTATTCCCTACGGGAATAAAACTTGAAAGTGGAAATACATTTCTGTTAAATTTAATTGGACAGTTCTTTAGTTATATGGAAAAGAGAAGAATTAAAAGAGAAGAAACTACTTGGATTTCTGAAGACATAATTAAGATGTGTTGTGTTCTTATTTCTTATTTTATATTTGGCAATTTTCCTGGTACTGATAGCACACACCTCCCTCACACTGGTACATCTATGCATCTGCCCTGATAACTGATCTAATGGCAAAACCACACAAAACACAGCAGCATCTGTTTCAGTACAAACAATGCCCATGAAATTGCAGAACCCCTTGGTTACCACTGCAGAGACACTGACCATAGTGGTCACCATATCTACACTGCTGCTCAGAGGCTACAATGCCGGAGGCCTGATGCCACAGTTGCCTGGAATTCCTTCTAATTCAGAAGTGTGCCTCTTTCTTGTAACCCACATTGAGAAGCAGGTGCAGTATCTTGGACAGTTTTATCATTTACACAACATAGAAAGCACGCATGGTCATCAATAGCCAAGTAACAGCATCACTAGGAAGAACACAGGTTTAAGCACACCAAGGCAATCCCAGAGCTTCTTTCTGTCTTCATTTATATTTATCGTTCCACCTATACACCACTGAAAACAGACATTCCATTCCACTACCTCTTGCATGTGGAAGGACACACACTACTACAGAAATTACAGAAATTGCTCTGCATGTTGGCTTAAGTCAGATTTCTAGAAAGATTTTCAGGTTTAAGAAAGAAAAAAGTAATCCTATCCTTTCTTGATTTCTAGCTTTCAGCTACATCAGTCTCCTTCATTACAAAATGCTCAGGGTTCACCCTGGGAAGGTCTTCTCTTT